TAAAAATTATTCAGCCTATTTCTGCCAGTACATTTGCTTTATTTGTGTATTTTCTTTCATTTTTCTAACTTTCTCTTCAATGTGGATACAATATATGCAGTCTGCTCTCAAACTGCATATGCTGACAGTGAAAAGGAACAGTATGTTAAATATAATCCATAAATAACCCACAAACACTAATTTTAGTCAATAGTTTTAACCTCCTTCTCCTCTTAAAGGCAGTGAAGAGCAACTTTCTTAATTTGCGATTACCTCACTGTCTCCTGCAGACATTAATGACGAGGAAAATGCCAAATGTTATGAGGAAAAGGTGAATAGAAACAAACAAAAAAGTTCTGTATCTGAAAACTAGGTAATCAATAGTTAACTATAACATAGTTGACTATACACTATTTTATAACACAAACCTCTTGGACATCATGTAAGAAAATGTTTTAGAGTAACCTTATTATATCATGAAACTGAAATATATTTATAAAAGAAAATGATTTAAAAAGAACTGCTAAATACTGAGAAAAATTATCTAAGAAAAATAAATAGTAGATCTAATTTTAGAGCTACCAGCTATTGTGTTTGAAAGCAGCAACTATTTTATTTGTTAGCTCTGACATTTGGGAAAAGAAAATTGACAAGGTCATTCTTTAAAATGGGGAAGAATTTGATGTTCAAAGTTTATAGGCTAGTCAGCTTATATCAGCTAACTGGAATGGTATTTTAGTTAGTTTGGGTTGCTCTAACAGAAATACCATAGACTAAGTGACTTAAACAACAGGAATTTATTTCTCACAGTTCTGGAGACTGGAGTCCAAGATCAGGATGTCAGCACTTACTTGCTGTAATCTCACAGCCCAGAGAGGCAAGCTCTCTGGTCTCTTCTTAGAAGGACACTAATCCCATTATGGAAGCTTGAATGTCATGACCTAATTACCTCCCAAAGGCCCCGCCTCCTAATACCATCACATTAGGGCTCCAACATATGAATCTGGGGAAACGCAAACATTCAGTCCAGAGTAAACGGTGTTAAGAGTCCTCATCAAACAGCCATTGTACACGATGTGTAAATCACTTCTGACCAAGTGACTCACTGGAGAAAAGGTGAATCACAGACAACACTGTATTTGAACCATGGTCAACTTAAAAGATGTCTAACCTGGTAAATTATCAGAATCACCTGTGAAGGTTTATTTTGATATAATTAAATTACTTTAAAAATATTTTTTAAAACAAAGCATTTAATAACACAACTGAAAACCAAATGAACAACTAAAACAGTTTTTGTTGGTTCACATTCTTTCACTCTTCTGGGCCATTCAACCTAAAACCTAAAATTTTATATACTTTTTTACCTTTTTATATCTTTTTATATACTTTTTTATCTCTTTTCCCTGCTTTGTCCTTTTTTTCTCTTTTTTTGTTCCTTAACAGTTACCTATAATTCTGTGCATTTTCCATCCTCCTTAGTGTCTGTCTTCCTTGCTTTTCTGCAAATTTGATGAAGTTAGGATTCTCACCACCATATATAGCAATGCCTGGCAATATGGTAGGCACTAGTGAATATACGTTGAAAGAATGAATGGAATTAAGTATCCATTGCTGTTAAGGTGCAAGCTCTACATTTAGAAGTTACATTTCCTTGTCAACAGTTGAACTCAAATAAGAAGTTGACCTCACATTCGTATGCTCTTCATTTGTATATACCTCAGGCAGAATACAAGGTCTGGTCAAACAAGACCACAAAAGCTTGGTGAGAAATCATATGTCCTGCTCACCTCTGTAGGTTATGCCAGCTCTCCCAGATTATTATTATTTTTTTCTACCAAGTCCCCTCCAATGGTACAACTGGGCATTAGCTGCCTTAGCTCCGTCCTTTTCACTCTACAATTCAACATCACCAACATAAAAGATGACTGAACCAGAGGTGGTGACTAGGTGGTGCCACTGGGATGAATCAAGCACACAGATGATTGTCGTGGTGGTGTTTTTGTTATTCGTTAGTTTTCTTGGTTTGTAGAGTGTTAGCCTTCACAGTTAGCCTATATGTGCACTATGTTGGCCTGCATGGTATTTTTTGTAATGTGATAATTTGGTAACATTTTTAAATTTCGAGATTTAAACAACAACAACAACAACAAATCTAGATTTCTTGCTTCTCATGAAAAATGAAATGTCTGGCACAACCTGTTAATGTTCCTTATGGTAAAAAATAAGTGGAGGTGAGAGGTGTTCTACCTCAAGTGGACCATTAGCTCTCTCCGGTTTTATCATACTTTCTGCCACCCTCAAGTAAGTCTAGATACTGAAGTCTAGACTCAGTTGCTACTTACTATCATGTTGAGCCATTGGATTTTATCACACCTGACACACTTTACTATTTATAACTTGCCTCACTCTATTAAATAAGTATTTGAATTTGTGAATCTATTCGTAAATAAATGAGTTCTATACATGGAATTACATGAATTAGTCATCTATTGCTATATAACAAATTAACCCCAAAATTCAGTATCTTAAAACAATGAACATTCATTGTCTCACATAGTTTCTATGGATCAGGAATCTGGGAGCCACTATGTGGGTGGTGCCGGTTTGGAGTCTCTCTTGAGGTTGCTGTAATGCACTGGCTTTGGCTGAGTCAACTGAAATCTTGACTGGGCTGGAGGCTCTGCTTTCAAGATGGCTCACTCATACGGCTATTGACTAGAGGTCTCAGTTCCTTGTTGTGTGGACTTCTCCACTGGGCTGCTTGTGGGACCTCATAACTTGTCACCTGGCTTTGCCCGGAGTGAGGGACCCAAGAGAGACAGGGCAAGGAGGAAGGCTCATGCCTTTTATGACCTCATCTCCAAAGTCAAACGCCATCACATTTGCCTTATTTTATTCATTAGAAGTGAGTCACTAAGTCCAGCCTGCACTCAAAGGGAGGGAAGTTAAACTCTACCTCTTGAAAGAAGTATCATAAGGTTTGTGAAACTTAGATATAGCAATCTTGGTCTTTGGGTCTTGGACTTGGTTGAATCATCAAATAATTGCTTTATTTTAATCTAGGTATTACCAAATACCTATTGCTTACCTAATTTTAATATTTCAAAGCTCCTTTCAGTTTATTCTGTATATACTATTCCAAGTAAAACTGGGAGCCCCCAGAGAGTTACAAATTATAATATTTTAAGTTTAAAAAACTGTGAAATGCATCCAAAGAGATTATTAACTCAATTTTAGGAAAACCACTCCTAAATTTTAGTGAAACACAAACTTTCAGTTACTTATCATCCATCACCTAGGTAGTCTGAGGAGCTGGCATATAACTGGTCATTTCATATTACAATTATTTCTTTGTTCCTGGATGTGCAATTTCAGTATCACTGTAGGCAAATTTCTTCTTAAACATTTATAGCTGTCATCATCAGTAATCCCCTGGATAGTGGTAAGGTTCTCCTTTTTTTATTGTCTTTTTTATATGACTATACTATTCGGCCTCAGCAGGAAGCAGGTCCTCATCACACTTTATACCATCCCCAAAGAGAAAGAGTAGAGAGGTTCTAAAAGAAGGGGGAATCTGAACAGAAGGACAAATTCAGAGACCAGCTAGGGAACTTCAGAAAGTAGAAGTTGCTCTCCTGCTTCTCTTTGGTGATGCCCTTTACACTTTAAGCCTTCAAACTGCAGATATATTTTGATATGTCCAGTTAATGTATTGACAGTAGAGGTATTAATAGATTTCTTTATTTTTTATCTTTCAGTGTTAATCAAATTAGGGTGGCAGGGAGAAGTACAGATACATAACCATTCACTTGTTAAAAGAATTTTAATTTACTCAAAATCGGTTCCCATACGGCACTGATGTCAAATAAGATTCACAGCTCTGATCCAATATATGCTTAATGATTTCATCCATGCTTTGTCTCTTCTATTTTATTAGGAAACAAAACTAACTTACTTTATTTTTTTGCTAAAATGGACTACTCCATTTTTTGAGATTTTGTTCATAGCACTGAGTTCTGTAAGTTTAGTACTCATTTCCTACTCATAGCAGGGTCGGTACCAATCATGTTAGCAGAAATAAATTTTTATAAAGCCTACATTTTTCTATGAGGCAATGATTTTTACAGTATATAAAGTTTGTGATATATATATATGTGTATATATTCACTAAAAGTCAATGACATCTCTTGAAATGTTATGACATATTTTTATCACGCTTCCTCTAACTTACTGGGTTCCTTGGCTATATTATTCGCTAGTTTGGGTTGATTTCACGAAGTATGCTGGAATTCAATTTTTGAAAACGTAGTGTGGGTGTTGACTGGGGATTGTTGCAGTTTACCAAACCACTTTCAGAATTTAAGCTCTGCTGTTTTTACTCAGGTGATTTAAAAAATGTAAAAATACACATGCAACAAAATTTTCTTGTTAATTTGGTAAAGCTGGGTAATACAAAATAACCTTATTTTCTTATTGACTTATGAGACAATTGTAAATAAATCCTATTCTAAAATAACCACTAGTCAGGTATAATCTCTGTGTGTGTGTGTGTGTGTTTGTGTGTACATATAAAGAATTTTTGTGGAAGAATAATTTAAATCATTGGTCAATGACACTGTGGCCTTGTTTCTTCAACTGTCTGTGTAGATCAATCTATCCTTTATAAGCAGAGATAAGATTTTACCTTATTGTGACAAATACACAAGGTCCCTGCACTTTAGAACACTATAGTAGAACACAGAAAATGACTGTAAAATAATACCAAGAATAATAATACCCCAAGAATTAATAACAGTGAGGTTATTATTGCTAATAGCACTAAGTCACTGATCTGGATAATCTTTTAAGTTTCTTTGCTAAGGTTAAAAAAAGAAAAAGAAAAGAAAAACTCCCTTAGAGATGTGCAATTTGAATGTGCTTCTGGTGTTAATGGAGCAGTCTTTTCTAAGCTTTAACAGGTCACAATTAATCAACCCCAATCAATACAAGCATCCTAGCTATAGTATCACTGTACTTACCCATGATGGTTAGGGCTGTAGCTTTTGTCAATTCTTCTTTCATTGACTCTATTACTTCTAAATTACCACCATCCAGGTTGCATCTGTTTATGGTTCCATTTCCCGAACTGATCCAATAAAGTTTGTTTTCCACATAGTCTATTGATAGTCCTGTAATTAAATTATACAATTTAAACATAACGGTAGCCACTTAAATTATAATATTCACCTAGCACTGGGGTTTGGGGGAAAAAATCAGTTTCAGGCTCAGATTTTTGTCTTTAAAAATAAGATCTGGCTAACAGGGAGATATACACACACTGTTTTAACTATCCGTCAAATAATATACTTTTAGAGACACGGTGGTTATCTCTGTTATCATAACAATTTTATGACATTAAGAGGAATGACTGTTCCATTTTACAGATAAGGAAAATAATACCTAGAATAGTTAAGAAATCTATTTGAGGCCATAGCTAGTAAGTGGACATTCCGGAAATTTTAAGAAAGTTTCTGTTTCTAAACTGAGTGTCTGCCCTCTTCATTACGCTGCTTTGCCTCAGAAAGTTTTAATGTGTAAACCTCATTTGGGATACTTATTAATGATATTTATAATTTCTCCTTTACTTTTAGTAAAAGTTACTTTAGAAAGTTATAGATTTAAATTGGTGTTTTCAGTAGTTTTCAAGTAAATCCAAAGGTAGGAGAATTTCAACAATTAGTAATTTCACTGAAGCATGGCAGTGAATTGGGCCCATATAGGAGACGCCATTGAGAAACAAACCATACAGCAAGTGAACCAAGCCAATGGCTTAAGACCATTGTCCGTACATGGCACAGTGTGTCACTGTAAGTTAGCTTTTTGTAGTTTATGAACAATTACATACATTATAGGGGTGTTCATGGTTTTCAGAGGTATCAGGACACATAAATTTTGATTGCCAAGGGTATACATCTAATTAATTACAGGCATTCTCAGTAGGCTTATGATCTACATTGTAACAGTAACACTGTGGCTCCATGTTGGTATTCTGTGACCCACAACTACTTAACGAAAAAGCACACGTGGGCACATCCTCAGGCATACAATAAATAAAGTGTTTCTGGGATCTCCCTCACAAAATATAGTGAACAAACTACAAAAAAGTCCTTTCCCTATTTAAAAAAAAAAAAAAAAAAACCAAAAAACAAGATGAAGAAAAGGAAAGAAAGAAGAAAGGAAGACAAGAAGGAAGAAAGAAAGAAGGAAGACAATTGGAGAGAATCGTATGAGTTCAAGTACATTGAGAAAGTGATACCATATCCAAAATATTCTCAACTACAGTTAGTCCCAATCCAGAGAGTGGACCAGTTTTCAGCAAGTAGCAATAATAAAACAAGCCTATACAACATACCAGCTATTTACTGACTTATTGGTATGTTTTCTTAACAAAAGTCTGGGAGATTCACCAGAAAAATCACAAGGCATAAAATTAGACATTGCAGGGATAAAATTTTCAGATTTTTTTTTTTGATAACCACTGTGGGTAATTGGCTTTAATTACTATGAAAAAAATAATCAAATAAAAACTATCACAGCCATATTCTATGATATAATACTTTCATGGTGAAAATCATTCATCATTCTTTTTTTTTTTTTTTTTGCGGCACGCGGGCCTCTCACTGCTGTGGTCTCTCCCGTTGCGGAGCACAGGCTCCGGACGCACAGGCTCAGCGGCCATGGCTCACGGGCACAGCCGCTCCGCGGCATGTGGGATCTTCCCGGACCAGGGGCACGAACCCGTGTCCCCTGCATCGGCAGGCGGACTCTCAACCACTGCGCCACCAGGGAAGCCCCATCATTCCATTTTTTCATGAGAGAGAGTTTGGTTATTCTACAGGTACTTCCTAAGCCACCTCCATCTATCTTTTCTGGTATTAATAAATTCTGGTTTAGACAGCTTAATTTTCAGAAGTGGTTTATTTTACCTTCTACTTAGTTGACCATCTAAAGCACGTAATTCCATCTTTAAACAGCAATGAAGCATATCTTTACTATAGATTTATGGTACAAAATATAACCCCAAACTTTCTACTGCCAAATTTTCAGCAAGTATCAAATTAATGAATACATTTGTGAAAAATTCCCTTTAAGAAAAGTTACCTATCTCCTTGTGTATTCCAAACTTTACCTCTCAATCAAGCTGAACCATCAGAGAGTTATCTGCATTTTTAGCTTGCTAAGTTTTTCTCCCTCTTGGAATCTCTTGCTGAATTGAACTTTGGCATTGTGCCCTTGGTTTAAATGAAAGATGGTATAAGAAGTAGCCATAGGAAGCCCACTGTTATACTTGCCAGGATATAGTGTCTGAAATAATATATCACAGTGTGACCTCTTTATATAAGGACCCATGGGAGAAATCTCTCTCAGGACTCAGTGCCAGAAAAAGCTTTATGCGGAAAATATAAAATTGTAACTGATCATATTTCTCTCTTTGCTTTGACTGCAAAGAAACTGAAGAGTCAGATTTGTGACCCATCTCTGGCAATTGTAAAGGAATTGCATTTATACCATAAACTTCACTTCTGGCTTCAACAGGATAATCGATTATTTTCCTTCACCTTGATTTTTAAAATCAATATTCTTATATGTTCCATCTTAGGGAATGTGTTTGTTTAAGTTTCTTCAACTCCTTTTTGTAAGGAGAGGGTACATATTGAATACGTTCAACTCCAGATTAACCCACAATATCAGAATTTTCTCATCTACCTAAAACTGCAGTTTCTAGACCCGAACTTAGGTTTTGTAAAGCAGTTATACAGAGCAGAGAAGTTGCAGAGTTTGGGTCAGAGCTCCCCAGTTTTTACTACTGAACATCTTTGTCCCTGGACTGTGCATGCTGAGAGGAAAGAAGCTGTTGTCATTGTGAGCTTTTCACCTTCAGCGCTGAGCATGATGCCTAGAGCAGAGAAGAAAATTTATAAACACTGAATGAAGGCATGGGGTATTTAATTAACTCCACTATGAAAATTATAAGTTGTCTTCAAGGAGTTCTGCCTAGTAAAGTTGAATTATCCCCACGACAGAATTTTTCTACTATACCACTTATGTCCATGTATTATGAAAATAGGGAGGAAAGGCAATGATTCAATAGAGCTACTTGGTATGGCTTATATTTTTTATATCAATATTAATACAAAATAGTTTAGGATTAATAGTTTTAAAAAAATTAAAGTTCCTATTTTAATCTATATATGTATGTGATATGTCACCTAGTCACCTACATATACCTTCTCTCCTGTCAGATATATTAGCTTAACCCCAGAATGCCCTTGAGCGTGTTTATATCAGGTGTATACAAGAGAACTGAAATATTTTAATAATCCTATTATGAATTCAAGAAACTGATGATATACATTTTAAATTCATAGATGAGCATGTTTAGAAGTACATATTTTTAAACTTCATTAATATAAATGTTTTATATAAGATTTTTAAACTTTGTTATTATGCTTAGGTTTTAATAACATTGAAGAATTAATTGGTATCCATCTATTGGAATAATTTCAAAAGATAAATCATTAAGCAGTAAACTAATAGTGGTTTTGATGTAATTGAAGCTACTCAATGATTTTAGCATACTAAGTCAAGAGCCATGAGAAAACAGATCAAATATAAGCATGTCCATAAAACTGTCCTGGAACCTGTGCAGAGAAATATAATTATGTCTGTACTAGAAGATCCTCAGAATGGGGAACTAAGATTAAAATATCTTCAAAAGGACTGTAAGGTCTGTCTGAAGAATATGCCATTAGTAATATAGAGTCATTTCTGCCAGACATATTTATTTTTAAAATCATCTGGATCTGGTAATCAAAAGAGAAAAGTGAGATTAAATAATATAATAGGTATATCAATGGAAGAGAAGTCATCATCTAAACTGAAAAACCTTTATGAAAAGGAAAACCTACCTTTTTACCTATCTTTTCTATTATTATAAAAATGCAGAGGTAATCCATCTGCTTTGATTCTAACATTCGTTATTTTAAACCAAAGATTTCACTTAATATATTATTTTATTTGAACATTTTGATTTAAACCAGCTTATTTTTTAATTTAGACAATGTAACTTGCGAAAATTATATAACTGCTCTCATAGTAGGAACATTCCATACACTGATATAAGAAACAACTACACATTTTTAAAAAATATAATCTAACTATATTTTCCATATATCACTAAAAAAGTTAAGTCCATTAAGTTTTAAGTGTTGTTACAATTAAGACTGGAAAGTTCATTTTTATGTGTCTCATTTCTTTTCTTTTTTATATCACTCAAAATATAATCAATATACCATGCAATGTGGAATTAAAACAAAAATGCAAATATATAGAAAAATTTTTTTTAATTGAGGCTTTCTAGGGATAGTAATTATCTAATTTTTGCCATCACTTGTCAAATTTAATTTCAAAATTTTCACCCCTAGCAGTGCATTATAACTATCTGGAAAGCTATTAAAAATACCGATCCCAATCACAGAAATTCTAATTTAATTGGTTTATGTTGGTCCCAGGCATCAGTATTTTTAAGAACTCTCTCCAGGTCATTTTGGAATACAAAATTTAAGAAATTTCTTTTAAACACTGCATATTTTTATAATCTTTTAAATTTGAATTTTTAAAAGGTTCAATGAGGCCTTTTAAATTTTGCTGGAAAGTAGGTCATGATGAGATCTCTGGAGACAGAGGAATACTAAAGCTGTAGATAGGGAAAAAAACATACTATGGATATTTAAATGTAGATGATTAACTTCAAGGCCTCTAGAGCGTATAAATAACATTGAAATCTTCTAAATATTTTCTTTGTAGTGTTATCTTCAGACAATGGAACACAACTTCTGCTTCTGGAATTGTGAAAGTTGTAGAAACTGGCTATTGAAAACACAAAAAATGGGAAAATATTGTAAAGTTGTATGCCCTACGATACTTGTAGAATAATTATAATGTTCTGGATATTCCAAAATGGAGATCTTTTCATAGTACACCAAAACAGGCATGATTATTCCTGGGGCAGCACTTTCTCTGAAACATTGAACTTTTAGCTTCAAAGGAGCATTGTTATTCCATGGAGAAGTAGAATAGGATTAATTGCCTACTCACAATTAGGCTATCTCAAGAAATGCTTTATCCC